GCACTATATATATATATTTTTTTATTTTATTTTTTTTTATTATTATTAATTATTTAATATGAAAAGTGGCCTCTGTATGACAATTGGGAATTATTTTTTGTTTTTACAAAAGTGTTTGCAATATTATTCTATTTTGTCAAAAAATATGCATTGACAAATTTACAGTAAGACAATTAAGAAAGTAAATATGATACATTTTTATTGCATGTCGACTTAAGGTTGAATTGTACATATATCAATGGAAATGAGCATTTGAATCTCACTGTCGGTGACTCTATAACAGTATGAAACCGCTCATGCCGCCCTGAGCGTCTCTGCGTGTGAACCGCTGAGCTGTCTGCATACAGCTGAAAACAAACAGAGCGTCAGAGCGGGACTCCTGTTGATAAACACTTCAGCAGCTGCCATTCTGCCATGTAGACCCTCAGACAGACTCAAGACAACTTAATCCCGTCCCACTTATCTTCATCCCTCGCTTTCAATCTCTCTCTCCATTTAACTCAATCTCTCACCCTCCTGCTCTCCTCAGCATACTTAGAAGAGGCGTGTGAGTGAGTGCGAGGTGGGAGGGGGCTGTTTGTCTTCATGAAAATCACTCCAGGTAACCTCTGGAAACCTCCTTGCCCCGACACCACAGCTATCGTGCCACAAAAAGAGATGAGCGCATAAGCACCGAAGCACTTGTCTTACCTGCAGGGGTCACATAACATCCTGACCTGTGCTTTTTTAATGCAATTTTAGTCAATGGCTGATTCAAAATAGCACACTACTGTACTGCTCTTACCGTATATGCCATATCTTCATGGTCTTCCGAATTCATCTAAAACTATCTTATAACTTACTGAATACTGCACGCTTTATAGTTTACTGCATAATGTTTTTTAAAAAATCTGCTAGTGCTAAAGAAATAGCTGGTGAAACAGCAGTTATTTTTTGATAACCATCTTAAATATGGTTTGTCACTTGACATAGTAACGTTGCATATTCAGTTCGAATTTAGCTCTCATCCCGATTCAGACCCTCTTA